TGCACTGAATCAATGCATTGGAATGAGAAATCGTTAAAATCATGTGGTGTTTTGTTAAAATGTACCGCTACTTCACAGGTCTTTTTCTTAGTGACCATAGCAGACTTGTGGTTGTGAAATCTAGCCCTGAAGTCTTTTGTTGTGGAACCAATGTATTTTAGGCGGCATTTCGTGCAAGAAATACAACCGTGCGGAAAACCGCGTAATGTATGGTATACACAGGGACACGGAGACGTAGCATTTTTGTGACAGTTTTGGGAGAGATCGGCACGGAATTCCAAAATATCAGGTTTACTTTTCAACTTTCAAGAGTAGTTTAAAAGGAAACACTTCATCCGTTTTCTTGTGAGCACGGAAAAGGTTTGTTGCGTTTTCAGAGTAAAATTCCTATTTTAGATTTCTTTAGAATGCACTGCATAAGGTCTAAAATACACTTGTAAGGTAGGTGATTTTAAGATAGGTCTTTGACTTCGAAAAAAAATAAGCAGAATTGTTTTTTTTGTTTTCCTAGGGAGCCCTCACCTGAGCTGTAACATTCACGACCCATAAGCATAACACGACTCTGAGATAACTGGACCTTACCACATCCATGACAGCTTTCAGTTCCACCTTGAATTTCACTTTAATATTTTCCCTCGAGTTTAGCACAGGTCGAATAATATAATTAAATGGAACTCCCCCAGAACCTGAAAATAGATCTTGTCGGAGTTGATGTTCCTTTGACGCACTTGTTCTCGGCCAACCTGCAGCGCAGCTTAGATGGACCCAAAAGGAGAAACACGTTTCTACGCTGGAAACTCTAAAGCCTTTAAATTTATTGGCGCAACGGCTAACAAAATTCTGAGGGAAGAACTCCCTTTGTACCGCATGTAATATTGCCAGGTAATGTAATCTAATCGAACTCAGTCGAGCATTCAGTCATTGGATCATTCGACGACTGAATGCTTGGCCAGTGGCTTGCAAGCTGCTTCGCAATCGGAGTCATGTCGAACAGTAGTACGCCAGAAATCTCGCCAAACACTATAACTTGAAGGAAACTAAAAAAAAAGAGCGTCGCAACCACTCGCGCCCAGTAGTATGAACAGTGAGAGAATAGGTGTCAAATTCTCTGACTGAACTGAGCAAGCTCTGACCTGTGATCTTTTAGTGTGATCCGGTAAAACTTTAATTAACTCTCATTTGTTGTATGTCACCTGCATAAGTCGTTTTCAAATAAGTTTACGGAGTATTGAGTCTTGGTAGGCTGGCAAAATTGGTCCCTAGCCCTCTCCCGAATTTTGACCGCTTAGGCATTCATGCAGGTATTCATCACCGCTGCGGGACAAGTGGCGAAGTATGTAAGTTTCGAGCCGGCAAGCGAAGCGAGCGTGCAAGAGGTCTGTGTCGTTCCAGAATCCTCGCGACTTTTTCGCACGCTCGCTGAGTTAGAAACGGGCAGGCTACGATGCTCTCGTCGCAATACAAGTCAAAGCCTGCTCGCAGACTGAATGACATGCATATTTTCAGGCTTTTGCAAAGAAAACACTTAGTCTTAACAAATAGAGAAGCCTTGACTGTGATCTGTTCTGCTGTAAAGAAGTGAAGGGAGAAAAACCAGACTATTTTCTCGCTACTTTTTGAGTGCTCTTGCCGCTTCCTGAGAGCTTTTCAACAGAACAGAGCACCGTCAAGGCTTCTCTATTTGTTTTATAATAAAGAATCCGTTGAATTCTC